CTGTCTCTCTCTCTCGTTCTCTCTCGCTCTCTCTCCCTCTCTCTCTCTCTCTCTCTCTCTCTCTCTCTCTCTCTCGCTCTCTCTCGCTCTCGCTCTCGCTCGCTTTAATACTCGATTGTTTATGTTTTGCAAAGGTCCATCTGCTGGTGTGAGCCTTTTCAGAAGACGGCAGATGAAAGCCAAGGTTCAACATCTGCCGAGTACATCTGGTTCGAAGGTTGAGATTTCGAATGTTTTTCTTGCAACGAGAAAAAAAGACAGTAGAGTCCGAGCCCAAGCCCTTTACCGAAAAGAGGCAGAGTATTTCCTGGCAGCTCAAGGCGACCACTGAAGTAGCCAGACTGCGAGTCTCACAGGATGCCGCCGCTTGGCGGGCGGCAGGTTCGCTCGGCATGTCCCCTACATTGGACATACTGTTGATGATCTAAATCCTGCATGACCTTAAGGACCCGAAACTATGGGAATTATGGTGTATTCCTTATCATGGGTAATGCAGGATTTATATCATGAACCGTCGGTCCGAAAGGCGTTGTCTGGTGCGCTCAACCGTGAACCCCGAAGCACTAAGTCCCGAAGTACCAAGCCTGAAACCCTCGCCAAAGTGACCGCGATTATAGGCGCAGGAACGCGCTTGGTCCGACGTGCAGGAGACGCCGAATAAAGTGCCACATCCACGTTTTGACTGTAGGTTTGGGGTGCTGTCTGCCATCGTAACAGCCGAAGTGCGAGCTTTGAGCGACGCCACTTCACATTTGCGCCTTGGCTTTCTGCTACTTCTTCAAGACCCGCAGGAAAGGAGTCTCGGAGAAGGAAGTTATTCGCACTGTTCTTCCAGTGACCTGCACAGGCTTACCCGTGCTGCACCCCTACATCTGCCGATCGTTTGGCTCAAAGGCCTAACAAAGGGGTCTGTTTCTCCGCACCACTCACCGCAGACTGGCCCCTTGGATGCAAACAGACCTGCATCATGCGGTAACCAATTGTGCGCGGACTTCAGGTGTTAGAGATGTTAAGGGGCTTCTGAACCAGTCCAGGGGACAAAGGTGCAGTGAGACTTGGACTTTCGTTATTGTCACAGTAGTCATACCCTGCCAACGATATGCACAGCCACCATGTGAAAAGTTGGACCTGCACTGCACGCAACGATAGCGGGGCAGCAAACACTGCAGTCAAAGATATTGAGGTACTTACCACTTATCAGCTTCAAACACACACACACACCACAAGAACAAACAAAAACAAGCAGTGCCGCTGGCGTTCGAGAGCTTCCTTCGTGCGGTTGTCTTGGAAATACATATCCTCTGAAGAAGGAGGACCTCTGCTTTGTCGGGTCAACAGGGAGCAGGCTATTCCTATTCCTTGTCAAGCTGGGTCAACCCGGAGCACTGCCGCCCGAAATCCAAGCATTCGGAACCTCCGGAGTTGTGCTCTCGATTCGGAGCCTGTTCAGAGCAAGCGGCTGGTCAACTTCCGCCCGAAACCTCCCCTCACGCACTTGAACAGTTGACAACACGAGGCTGGGAGAGGGCGGAGGACTTTGAGAGGTCAGTCTGCAACGTGAGGCTCTTCCGGCGGGGGGGGCACGAGGGAGAATAGATCATCAGACCTTCCTTGTTTGATATGGTTGTGGATATCCTTAATGTTTATAGTCAGTACTAGCTTAGGGCCTGGGTGGGGGCCTAGGGGCTTCTTAAGTTACTATGTGGATGGTGTCAAGAAACTGGGATGAGCCATCGAGGCCCTTCAGAATCAGTATGACCGCACTCGAAATTTCGTAGAGACCCTGTTCCAACGAATACGGTTCAGATAGAGCTCTAAGCCAGATAAGAGCCCTACAAAGCTCTCTGTCGAGTATTTACACGACACTAGCTGGTGTGTTCAAGCGCGGGCACCACGCCTTGGTTAGACCTAGTTACTGGGTCAATAGGATAAGGGCTTTGGCTTAGGATCGAATCGGTTGAGTTGGGGTCTAGGTCAAAATCAAGTAGTTAGGGTTAAAGCGATTTGCCGAGTTTCCAATCCCGGGCCCGTTGGCTGCGGACCTTCGCTACGAACCTTCCAAAGCTCCGTGAACTCGCAAACTCGAGATCCAGCATCCTACACCCCAAGTCCGTCCATGAGCTGTCGCAGCCTGGAACAAGTCCTACAGTCATCGAAATGCGGCTCTTTTCCATACCGCCGGAGTTCACAGTCAATACACTTGTACAGCAACCCCTCCTCGACCTGATGCCCAGGGCTCTTTCATGCAACAAGTTTTGAAAAGATCAAGCCAAGTGTGAATGCGTAGTACATGTCAAGGCACGGAGCGACATGCATTTCTTACCCCGTCAATGCTTCCGGCCTTTTGTCCAAAGTCCCAGCTGCAGCCATGTAGTATCATAGTTCCCACAGCTCCAAACCCATATTGCACGAGCTTAAGCAATCCGAACCACTATCAGCCCCCACAGATAAGCCCGGACATATGAACCACCCCGACGATGCCACAAACCTATTTCTGCCAAAACTGATGCAAGACGTCGGGGCTGCAAAGGTTTTGCGGGTACCTTTCTTTTCGAGGTACAGTCGCAGGCCCCCTGCTCCGGGGGTGCGGCCCTCAGCCTCGTTCTGTAGGGTTTGTTTCTAATAAGATTATGACTCTGTCCGGGTGTATCATACACCCTGAAACCCAAATGAATAAGCTAAATTTTTGAAGCCCTGAAGCCCACCTCTGGTGTTACTTGGGGGTGTTTGTTGCGCCGAGACTGTGGGCTGTGGGCTTAGCTCAGCTCTTTACTCTCCGAAACTCTAAATGCTCGAAGTCGAAGTGTACTGGTACACTTCCGGGATGGGATGCTGAAGCTCCTGCGGGACGAGGATCTTGGGTGTGAGGGTTAGGGAGGGGTTCGTGGGCTTTTCTGGGTTTGGGCTGGCTTGGACCACCTCCTTCTTGAGCCTCCAGAACCCGAAATGACTGCCGACACTGTGAACTGTTCTTCTGCTTTGGAGCGCAAGAAGAGAGCCCTCGGCAAAAGGCCATCCTTCACCGGGGTATTCCAATACGGCACACTATTGCTACTACGACAGCAACCGTCATTTGTTGGTCGGCTTTTGTTCGTTCTCGTGGCTGCTTCACCTGCGGCACATGACTCTTGCTACTACTTTTGGACGTCGGAGGGTTCTGGTCAAGTTGGGTGCGGCCTACAAGTTCAGTCACTTTCGCTTGCCTTCGCGTGTGGACCATTCTCTTTGCATGACGCGAGGGTTTGCAGCAGATCCTAAAAAAAAAGACCCATAGCTCCCAAAGCCCTAATACCGTAGATCGAGCTTTGAAAGAGGGCGGACGTGTCTTGGTACTGTAAGCAGATTTGCTGATGATCCGGCCCTGTGGCTCTAACTGAACGAGCTCCCGAGTACAGATAGCGATCCTGATATTAGTATAAAACGAAAGTGCGATCAACAGTCATAAGGGTGGCACGAGTATAATGAGACTAGCGAGAAGGCCACGAATAGGCACCTGCCAGTCCTGCACCCAGATGCTCTTCGCGCCCAGGCCTGCAAACTTGTCGACCGCCATTCCCACTACACAAGACGGCCGCTCCCTCAGGGGCTTTCAGAGGCGCTGGCGGCATCGCGCGGCAATAGCCCTACCAACAAAGAACGCCTATGTCAATGTCAATCGTATGTGTGTATCCACTATCAGCAAAGATGACAATAGCAGTGCCAGAGAGATGCACGACCTGCAGCAGGGAGGCATCAAGATGGTCTCGAGCAGGGGTCAGATATTATTTAGGGGGCTTGTTCGGGGCTCTCCAGATGGCTTGGGGTTTGGGGTTTGCGATTAGGGTGGGGTTCCGGGGTATATTTTGTGGCCCAGTGGTATCTGCTTCATCATACACCGAGTTGAAGGTGCTCGCGATGCGGGTCAGAGCTGAACTTCCAACAGGAACTTCAGTGGGATGATCATGGGTGCTGAGAGATTTGGTACTTTACAGGGCGCAGTCTCTGTCTATGTTGCACCAGAAGCTGGCCTTCTGTCAAAGCTTCCTGACGCTGTTTAATGATTCTGGCTACTGGTCCTCTCATCATGCATACCGCATACGTTTTTGTTCATTACGACCGTTATGATGTTGGCGAACCTAACTATTGAACCATGCTCATTGTCGGAGGTGCAGCTAGGAAGGCCGGGACATTATGAGGACCTCAACACCACAGAGCTTGAAGCCGAGCCTGCCCACAACGTAGCCGCCGGAGCCACCTCACCTGGCTTACGTAAAAAACACGCCCGGCATGGAAGTGCACAGAGGATGTGAGTCCTTGCGCCCAGGCAAATTCATCCCCGAGCCCATTAGTCCGATGGCCGGGCAATCCTTGGAGGCTGCCGATCGTGAGGATGTGGTGGTTGGTGGTGGCGGTGGCTGCGGCGGCGGGGGTGGTGGTGATCATGATGCTGATGCTGATGATGATGAAGGTGAGGATGAGGATGATGGTGATGATGATGATGATGGTGCTGATAATGATGATGACGATGATTGTGCTGATGATGATGATGATGATGATGACGACATGATTGTCACGATACTGATGCTGGTGTTGATCCTGGTGGATGGTCGATGTGATACATGTTTGAGACTGCCCAGCAGTGCAGGAAATATTCTGGACTTCGTGGAGAGTTTTAGCCTCACGGTCCTTCAAGACCAGGGGCCTCAAGACTTTGACCCCACCTCCTGAAACCAATATCTGAATCCCGAAACAAAGCGGGCCCGTGCCCCAGCCAGAATGCCGAAGCTAATGGGTGAGAGGCTGACCCTGATCTGTGGGACCTGCCTCAAGACAGCTACGGCTACTACTGCCATTGTCACTGTTACTGCTGCTATGCCATTATGCGCGACGAGCCGCTACTACCACTGCTGTTACTCTTGCCTCTACTGCCGCTGCTGCCACAGCTGCTAGTACTGCTACTTCGGCTGATGGCCGATGTGAGAAGTCCTGAGATGCGCAGGTGCCGGATGGCATGGAAGACCCAGGTTCCCCCGTTTCTCAGTCTGGGGCCGGGGACCTGGGGAGGAGGGCTGGGGCTCTGGGAGTTCAAGGTTTCTGGTTTGCTGGGGGGCGGTCGAGTTACATGGGGCTGGTGGTCCATAATCAGGGCTCAGGACCTTAATTAGCAGATTCTTCCACGATGGTGATGGTTGTCTCGTCGACAAGGTGTCATTCGGTCGAGTTTTGTTGACGCTTGCGCAGGACAGTATTTATGTTGAAAGTGTGACCAAGGTGTGGCCCTCCCTGGTCCCCTGGTGGTATTCTCTTCTTCTGAGACCCGCTTCTTTTCGCATTGTCTTTATGCTCTGGCTTCCCAGGCCATAGACTAACAAAGCAGGGCTGAGCCACTCTTGAAAAGTTCCGGCCGACTTGTTCCTGCCCGAAGGCTCAGGTAAGACGGAATGAGCTTGGCTCCATCTAAGCCTCTCTCTCTCCACAACGCCCGAAATTCTGTCTCGACGGGGGCTTCGGGCGAATTGACAAGACGGTCATGGTTGCATCGATGCAGTGTTTGCAAAGATGTCGTCCTGCATTGAGGGCAGACCCCAGGTCCTCGGGATGCAAGCAAGAGTACGGATAAGGACAGTAGATATAGTACTGCTCGCGATGATGACCCAACATTGCATTTTTCCCAGGGCATTCCGACCTCGAAATCACAGCGGAGCATCATAGCAGGCGCCGTGCTGCTGTCTCAAAGTTTCAGGTGTTTGCAAGGATTCAAGTCCTCAGTCACGACACACATCAAACCAACACTAGCAGTAGCAAAAGAACCGTGATGGCCGCTACAGCCGTATAGTATTCATTCGTGTGACGATCACGGGCCGTTTTTCACGATTCATACCTTATTGCTCTTGCTGATCAAACACGAAGACAGCTGTACTTCAGATACTTGTCAGACGGTCACCTCGGCCAATTAGGCAGCTATTGCTACTTCTTGCTTATTAAGGCCATTGCGATATCTCCTGTCGCTGGTACCTCAACCAGTCTCCCTAGGACGATGACCTCTGCTGCTACTTCGACCACGACCACCACCACCACCACCACCACCACCACATGTACTACTTGTACTACTGCGGCTGCTGGTAGTGTTGCTGATTCTGGGGCTCCTATGTCTTCTGCTACTACAGCTACTACGACACAATACGCCACCTACCGCCCTTTTGAAATTTGTGCTATAAGCACTGCCTTCCTTGCATGAAATGTTCTGCATGCATATGCAATGTTGTGCGTACGTTCCCCGTGGAGCATTCATCTCAAAGACTGCTTGAGCAGGTGGTTCCTCTCCGTACTGTAGCGGTTGCTGTTGCTGTTATTCTTGCCGCTGTTCTTCTTATTGATCTTGTTCTAGCTGTTGCTCTTGCTCTTGCTCTTGCTCTTGCTCTTGCTGTCGCGGCTACTGCTGCTGTTGCGGTGGCGACGGTGGTTTTGGTGGCCGTCTTAATGGTTGTTTCGGCAGTGGCGGTGGTAGTGGTGATGTTTGTTTTTGTTGTTGTGGTTGATGTTGGTGGTGTGGTCGTTGTTGTGGTGCTGCTAAAACTCTACATTGTTGCTGCGTTTCCAAAAACCTAAAATCTATTCTTTGTCACGTAATCTCAGATCTGCACCCAACTCGCGACAGTGCCGGCAGAAGCAGCTGCCAAAGTGCCGTGCAATATCGGTGAATTATCAGAGCGGCAGGGGAATTGGATAGAAACCGCCCCTGACAAGCATTCAAGATTCAAGACTGCAAGATTGCTGCCCACGGAAGGCGCTAGTGAAAGAGATGACCGAACGGACGTTCACGGGAATAAGATCACAAAGGCCCACGGGAGCGGCTTAAGCCGCTTATTCGGCGTGTGGTAAAAGCCCGTTATTTCGGTTCGTTGTATTCATCCGGTCCCGGAGACTGGTTTAGGGTTCGAATGCGCATTTTGCATTGCTTTTTCAGAGTTGTCAACCTGAACCCGACATCCCTTTGCCTCGGAGCATGGCCCTAGCCTGGTTTGCAAGATTCGGTGGCTCGGTTGTCTTCCAGGAGTTTCAGAAGCAGGGAAGACCTGGTGCGGAGACTAGTGTCTGCTGGTGTCTAGTGATGCTGTCAGAGCCCCATCATCAGTCGATCTACACGAGCAACGTAGTGATGATGTTCATCATCAGTCACTGAGCATCACCATACCATCACCACCATCATCATGATCATCGTCACGACGACTGCTGTCTTGGAATCTTCGTCATAAGCACAATCTCGCCAGCCCTTTGTCCAACACTGCCATGCTTGATGTACCCAGAGGCCAGGTCAGCAAGCGGTAGGAATCAGCCTCGAAGACTACAATCCCAACCCCCACCAGCCCTCGGGGCCAAAGCAACACTTGCAATACATATTCCGATGAGATTCCGATCTCCCATGTTGCAACGTAGTTTGATGTAGGTTGTCGGATGGGCCGGATGGGCATCCCTTAAGCTCCCGATCTTCTGCAATGTGTGTCTCACCCACCAAAGATTTCATCTTCTCGACTCCATACTGAAGCCGCCCGAATCAGGAAATCAGCGAGTATATGGGAAGAGAACCAAGTCCAAGTCGTCCCTCGCCTGCCAGGGATCAAAAACATATAGGCCTCGCCGGGGCCTGCAGAGGGCTTGCTGCAAGTCTTGCTTCCATTCCACATGTCGCATTTATAGTTGAAGGTTTCGGCATCTTCGAGACTCTGGCATTTCGTGATCTCAGATGCATAGTTTCCGGAGGCTGTGCATGCTAGGTTACGTCGCATTCAGGCTGCCACGCATGCAGGCAGCTGAAACAACCCCTTGAGCTTCTTCCTGCATGTTCTGGCTGACACTTCCCGGCGAACATCGCGCTGTTTCTGTTCGGTACTATAGTTAAAATACGGACTCCCCCCCCAAAAAAAAACAAAGGAAAAACAATAGTATGGGTAATTATTTAGGCCCTACATTAATGGATATTGCGTGGTCCATTGGTGCTCCTGTTTCTGTGATGTGTCTGCTCATAGAGTTTCTCGGCCTTGCAGTTTCCATTTCAGGGAATGTCGTGGCATTCCAATGCCTCGTGTTCCGGTAGACATGACAGTTGAAACCCCCAAAGCCCTAGAAACCCTAACCCCGACACACCAAAAACCTACGCCCCGGAGTCTAGGCCGCAAAACGACAGGCCCTACACTGCTAAACCCCTAAACCCTAACGCCCTAAACCTGGCAGGTGCAGCTTTAGAGACGAAGTCGAGCAAGAGCCGATCCACGACATCAAAGAAGTCCAGTCCTTCAAGCAGAACGCCTTGGCATGTTTATCGAGGGTCTTATAAGGGTTCTACGAGGGCTCTATAAGTGTACTAGAAGGGTTCAGGCGCTAGGATTTTGTCTGACTGCTCTAGCCTGCCTAGGCTTACTAGATGTAGTACGTTGCCTGCAGCTTGGCAGGGCTATGCCTAGACCTAGATGTTGTCTTCGATGCTGCAAGCATTTCAACCTCGAGCGAAGGCATGTTCGTGTGAAGTGTGTGGAGAGAGCTCAAGATAGACCATGCATTTAGGCCACTTGGTCATATGGAGGCGGCATCTGTACATAGACAGCATCGTAGAGCCTGTGCACATTTGGGATCGCAGCGGATGTGGGAACTTCGCACGTCTTCAAAACCGGTGTCAACAGCTTCAAGAATTCTAAGCCCTAACATGTCTTCTCGACCTCTTGCCGCGAAAAGCCGAGCTAGGCCGAAGCACATGCAGAAGCAGTTTCTGACCCGCAGATGGCTAAACGCAGTCTCGACATTCCAACTTCGAATGAGTCGCCAAACGCCAGGCCTGGGCTCGGCCAGCAGCTTCAAGACAGTGACAATAAGGCCGCCCCTCGGAGGGATTGGCAGTGCCGGTATTGTTTCTTGTGTGTTAGTTTGGATTAAGTTGTTTTCAAACTAGCCTTCTCGTTTCTCTTCTTACTGTTGGCACGTACATCAGCACCGCTACTCCTAGTACTCTTACTCCTACTCCTACTGCTGCTGCAGGTCTCCGGCCTGAGTTCAGATTAAGACGCAACGGATGTAGTGCTTGGGGGTCTTCGTGATATCTTTACGCGGCCCTTAAACCCCAAACCCGTAACCTTACAGATGCCAGCTCGGTCCGGCTCGCTCCCAAGCTGAACCTTCAAGCTGGCCACTCACAGCCTCATCGCGGAAGCTTTAGGGAAGTGCCTCTCGGGGGAACAAGCAGGGCGAACAGTTCGGAGGCCGTTCTCGGGCCGTGCTCTGGTGTTTATTCCAAGTCTCAAACTGAAAGCGGAAACCCTTCAACCACAAGCTGTGATCCGGCCTTGTTCGCAGAATTGCTGCTCGCTAATGTGATGCACGGTGCGCATCTCAGCCTGCACCGCCTGATGAAGGATTGAGAGGATCTGTATCGAGTTTGTTTATGGTTCTTACATGGCATCGCAAAGTGTAAGGGTGCAAACCGGGCTTACCCCGATATCGAGAAGATGGCATTTGAAGTATACCAGCTCCCGAGGTACACGGCCAGATTGTCAATAGAAGAGCCAATCAAAACCGAATGTGCGGCAAAGTTTTGAAACACGGGTCCCGGATGATGCAAAGCAATTAGAGTTTCTGACCATGTGATCACGTTCGCAGACTTGCTTTCGGGTTAGTTGGAAATCCGACACCACAGAAGCTTACATCTTGATGCGAGAAGCTTGAAGCCAACGGCCTCTTGAGGCTCGAGTGCTTAAACTCTTCGGTGAATGCCTCTGCTGTTTTGGGGTCCCGTAGATCCCTGTAGAAGCCTACCTGCCGCAGAGAGGGGGGGGGAGCGCAAGGATTTCGAAGGCTTCCAGTCTTGGCTCTATGGGTTTAGCTTAGGCGCTTTTCTCCTTGCATTTACCTCCTTGGCCCTGACATAGCCTACTCGCCTAGTCCAAGCTCCAAATGCCCAAGCTGTAGCATAATCAAATTACTGTGATGCTGAGGATTGCTTGCAATAGAGTAGTGGTCGTCGACAACAAACATTCACTTGAAATCGCAGCGTTTTCAGTTGCAGGCTCCGGCTTCATATTGATCTTGGCCGACTCACCCGACCTTACCAGTTGCTGCTCCTCAGGCCCTCTGCATCTCGCACATGGCCACAACAAGCAAGGCAGAACGGAAGGAGGGCTGTGTAACTTAACGGGTTGAAGCTGGAACAGCCAAATTCGAATTAGCGTCCGGGGACTGCAGGAGTGGATTCTTTTCACGCTGATTGGACGTGTCTCCAGTATAGCGGCAACATCGGTTTATTTATTTGTATGTATGCACGTTTATATATACATGTTTATATACATATATATATATATGTATATAAGCATATACATACACACGGAAGCATGTGTACATGCATATAAAGGCATATAGCTGTAACATGCGCAGAGACCGCAGAGAGGTCTATTCCAGCCATAGTTGCGTGAGACGTTAAACTGTTGTGAGCAATTGCCGCTGTTACAACCAACCCGCCAGCTCTCTTTACAGCTACATGCTGACACTGAAACATTTATAGTCGCACACTGTCTAATCGCCAGGTGGACAGGCAAGATGCATTGTCAAAGGGTCGGTTATATTGTGGAAAGGATGCATAAGACAATAGCCGTACTCGCAAGCGCAAGGCAGGCGTGCCCGTACTTTGGCTTTTGACTTCAAAAGGTTCGGGACCCATGAGAGTTTGAGGACCTTCTCCGTGGCGAGAGGGCTTCAGGCGAACACTCAGAGCAAACTGCACTGCTCGGAGCAGTATTGGCAACTGGCTGGAATGCCAAAGAAAATGCAATAACATCACCATGAATCCTGGTAGTGCTTGGTGTAATGCTCGTCTTCGTCGTCGTCGTCGTTGTCCGTCGTCTGGTCGTCCGCAGCAGTAGCACAGGAGTAGTAGTAGTAGTAGTAGTAGCAGCAGTAGTGGTGTTAGCAGTAGTAGTACCAGCGGCAGGAGCACTAGGAGTAGTAGTAGTAGTAGTCGTCGTCGTAGCTGTAGCAGTAGTAGCGCAGCAGGAGTAGTAGTAGTAGTAGTAGTAGTAGCAGTGGCAGCAGTGGTACTCGCACTATGTTCCAACAGAGAGGCGGCTGGACGCCTCAAAGTCGTTGGCGGCATTCTGAGATTCTGAGTGACACCACTGGTAGGCTTAAGCCGCGAAAACGCAGAGCAGCACACTGCTCGGGAGGTTGTTGCTTTTCTCACACAGTCGGAAGTCCTATCATAACACGACCGGCACTGAAATGCGTTCTCCTGGCTGACAGCAGATGTTTCTCTAGGACTCGCAGGCTCAATGGCCCGCAAAGTCACGCCCTGAACTGGAAGCGAGCCGCTGCTGAGCACGCGATGAATCAAACATGTAATCTCGAGTAACTTGTGGCAGACGATTATTCTCGCATGGACAGGATGGGAGCTGTGTAACAACTAGTCCTGAGGCCTTGGGCGACTTTAATTAGCTTTGACATGAGTGCTAGGAGACCTTGCCTGCAGACTTGTAGTAGCAGCCTGCTAGCGGTTGGAAGGTGTTGGGTGCCTTCACACAGATAGAGGAAAGCGCTTGACGACAACATGCAGGTCTGTTCTGCACCGTTCTGTGGAAGGTCATGCGGCTATCGGACCAATCAAAGCCATTGTTCGTTCTGCTCAGGGTGGCTTGGTTTCAGAACGCCAAAGGCGGTTCAAGCAGTTACTCAGATGCAACCCAGGTCACGAACGGGACCCAGACACAGCCGAAATAATGAAGAACGACATGACATGAAGGATGGAAAGACACCGGTGCAGAACCAGCATGAAGTGTGGTTGCACCACCTTGCGTCAGCTAGCTCAGTATCAACCGCTCGAACAAGCATTCGTGATGGAGCAGAGTATTGCAAGCGGAACTAGAGTTTCAGCGCCATCAAATTCACGCAGATTAAAGTCCCATCTGTTTTGGAAGTTCCATATCAATAGTTGAAGTCCGACCACATCGGAAAGGCTGCGGTATAATGACAAGGAAAGACACAGGACATCAGAACACCGAGGTCGCCAACCCGCATTGGGAAGGTGTCTGGAAAGTCGACTTGGGTTACAATTGGGTGTGCTGCAGGGGCACCACACGTGTTTCACTGCAGGCCCATTCTTGCCGGCAATCCCCAGCCCTTCTTCTAACGAGCTGGCAGAGGCCGATTCATGTGAAAAAACCCTGACCCCCCAAGAGCTCATGCTGGAGTGTCGCCTGCACACTGCTGACCGGGCTCTCTGGCAATCTCCCGTAGCTGTGGCGTCGCAGAGCCGGAATGGAGTTGGCTAGAACAAGGCAAGTTTGCAAAACCTGTGTCTAAAGACAGTGATCGAAGGCGCGCTTATTTTGTGTGAGAATATACGTCATTGACATTCGTACGTCGTAGCAATGCTGCTAGCGCCGATAATCAAGGCCCGACACGCGGCAGGAATAGTGATAGCACTGATTGCAACAGTAGTATTATGAGTGATACTAAGTGGCTTACAAGCAGGGCCACTAGAGTTATCACGACTTGGGGCCTCAATTGGGGTATCTCTTTTCAGTACTTTCATCGGCCTGCGGCAGCCTGAGCAGGTGATTGGACAGAGACCACAAGAGTCCATCCCGGCCAGGTAGACTAAATGTCTGGACTAAGGCCACACCCGAAACCCGACTGAGGGCATGTGCACAGGGACTTTTTGCCCTAGGATTGTTGTCTTGGAACGAATGTAACGTGCAGAACCGCAGTGGTTTCGTTTGAGGATGCCCTGTCAGGCCCCAGAGAAGTATTTGGCGCTTTCTTCGTTGAGAACTCGTGGTCACGGTCCACACCCTGACTGTACCACAGGAATTGTAGAATGCTGTAGGCATACCTGTGAGCCCATGATGGGTGTAGAATCTTCAGGCATGGGAGGGAATCGGGGGCCGGGAGGTATGCCAGGCGATTAGCAGCTACCTGATGAAGCAAATCTACAGGGGATGGGCAAGTCAAGGTGCGCATGTGGGTGCTGCCCGCAAGCCCGGAAATGCCACTTTCCGGTCCAAAGCAGCCGAACAGACAGTGAGGTCAGAGTTGGCGGGTGGCAGTTTCTGGAATTTTGAGGAAAACTCCGTATCACACTGCCCAGAACACTGACAGCTCCGGAGGAGGCAATAAGAGCAGAGGCAAATAAGCATGTCGGAACGGCAGTAGGCTCCAGTAGACCTCTGACAAACAATCGCCATTACAGGTGCAGCATAGTGTTCACTCAGTGAGATCTCAGGGATGGCATAGACAACCGGTCATTTGTTCAGAAATGATGCAGTCAATTGTTCGATTCACGCGTAAAGCGCGTGCCGGTTTGCTCACTGTCCCTGCATGTTGTTAGCCAGCGGCACGGTAAAGGGCAAGTCGAGTATCGCCTGGAGAAATATGCCTCTAATTCCTGAGCTCGTCTAGCATGTTAAGGCATGTTGACGCGAGTGCTCGGGCTCTCGAATCCGTCCTCCACAATCTCGGAGGATTCAAGAGGGAGAGGAGATGTGGTGATCACATTCTCCTCGACCTTTTTAAATCATTTTCCTTTGGCTCGTCGGTCTCTCGCAATAGGGGTATGGCCAGGACAGGCACACGCTAGGCATTGTAATGAGAAGTACATTTTCACCTATGCCAGCTGCATAGCTTCACTATGCATGCTTCGACTTTGTAACTACTCTATATTATGATTATTGTTATTATTATTATGATGATTATTATTATGATTCTAGGGACTTGTGCAGAGGCTGCGAAGGCGCTGCCCGGGCCACGGGGAAGTTTGACAAACTGAGCAGAACCGGCTCAGGCCCCATGTCAAGCAGCCCGGGTTTGTTGCACATGGTTACAATTGTAAAGCAGTAAACCGGCCCCATAGTCGTGCATCTGGGAGAAGTGGAAACACCATCCCCCCCTTCGATATCGTCCCCGCAAGAGAAAGGCAAACCCATTGCTGGTTTCTGATCGCCATAGGAACTGATGCTCGCTATATTGTAAAAAATGCTGTCGATTATTTAACGGCTTGTAAAGGTACATACATATATACATATATATATACATACATACATACATATATACATACATATATACATACAGACATACATACATACATATACATATATACATATATCTTATATACATATATGTACATATATATATATACATGTATACATATGTACATATGTACATATACATGTATATATATATATATGCATATATATATATACATATACATATATACGTATATACGTATATATATATATATATAGATATAGATATAAATA